GAAGGCACCCGATCAACCATGGCGTAGTTGTTCCTCAGGATGCTCGCCAGCTGGTCAATGGCGTCGGGGATCGCCTTGCGCAGCGCGAGAATGGCCAAGGCTTCCTCTGGCGCTCGTTCGGCTGACGCCGCGACGCTTGGCACCACCCCGCTGCCTTCCCATGTCTGCCCACTGCCGCTTAAGGGACTCACAGAACGGGACACGGGGATGGTCATGTAGAACTGGGAGGCGCCGATCCGCAGCTTCTGAATGTCCAAGGAGCCCCCGGCAGACCTCTCTCCCACTATTATGGCCCGATGCATGTGCTTCAGGGCGTAGGCCACGGCTTCGGCCACTCCGGTGGTGTATTGGCTTATCAGCACAACCACATCTTTGTCCTTTCCGTACCTCGTGCCCAGCACTTTGGGCAAAGTCCAGATTTCCGTGGTGCTGTTGGACAGCCGGTTGTAGACAGTATCCACATGCAGCACTTGGTCGTCCCGGTGTAAGTAGGAAATGATGAAGGGGATGCCCGAGACCTTCCCGCCAGTGGCGTAACGTAAATCTAGCACCAAAGCTGACGTCTCCATCAGGGTCTTCCATACCTTTTCGATGAGGAACGCACCTATCCGCTGTATCGTTTCTTGGCCAATGATGTAGTCGATCCTCAGGTAGCCCACATTGCCTTCCAGTACCTCAGACTTCACTACGTGTTGGATAAGTTCCAGGAGCTGCTCTGATGTTGGAGAAGCATCTGTTTCTTGCTTAGGGGCAGTTGGAGTCCAAGGCTCGTAAGAGATCACCAACCGCGGGTCGTTCAGGGCACCTTGCACGCCAGCAGTTAGGACGGAGGCCAGAAGATTGGGGTCGGAGATGTCCAAGATCTCACCATTTTTAATGGCTTGTTCAATAGCTTCTTGCATCCCCACCAGGTTTTCAGGGAAGCAATAATTATCCAGCAGGAGCTTGGCCATGTCTAGCACCAGCGTGGGCTGGAAGACCTCCTCAGTACGAATGCTGGAAAAGACCAGGGCCATTAAGAACAGGTGACACTGTCTCCACGCCATTTTCATTCGGCCAGGAAGGTGCAAGACGAAATGCAGGGCGAAAGAATTCCAACCTCCCCACAGACTGAGAGGAGCTTAGCTTCCTGCCGACCCTCTCTTTCTGTCTGCGAATCAGTGCCGAGTTCAGTCGGGGAGCGCAGAATATCGCTTTAATCCGACGCTAACCCTTAAATCTGCCTGTAACCCTTTAATCTAATTAATCTCAAGGCCATCGGCTGGAGCATCGTTCTGTGTTGTGACAACACATCTTATGAAACATCGCTGAACCTCAGCGAAAGGAGTGTAGAAGACCATCTTTGGAGGAACGCTGGCTCTACTTGCGGGATTTTTCCCTGCAGTTCGTCGTGTTGCTCACTGGATAGTGGATCAGATTTTGGTACATGCTCAATGGCTGTAACAAATCACTGAGGGCAAAGCAGCAGTGGAGAAGACGCCAGTGGGTTAATACTGGGGCTACAGAATAATGCTTATGAGCATTTTTCAGTGTACTTTTTTTTTGCTATCTAGTAATGGCTGACTTAGAGCTCCCGTCTCTAGTTCCAGCTC